TATATATATATATATACACATACACTTTTTTCTTCGATGTGATACAACTGTTATAATATATAATATATAATAAAAATCTTGCTGTTTTAATTCCTTATCATTAACATTGTTTAGTTTGGCAAGTATTTGCTAATCATTTCATCATTGACATTTAATTAAATTTACACTGGGAAACTCTAAGCACTACAAAATTGCATATATTTACAGCATAGACTTATATAACAGATTACGTCGCATTCATACATGACAACTGAAGACACATATGATAAATAGAGACATGAATGATCTGTTACTTATTCAGTTACATATAATATTACACAATTGAATAAGGAAAGTATCCGATTGACTATTACTCTTTCTCTCTCTTACTAATGTTATCCTCACATCTCCAATAGAAGGTCTATTATGCAAGTCTATGATTTACAGTAAAGTCTAATGTATAATCGAAAAGCACAGGTAATAGGAATAAGAAATAATAAATTTCAACTTATCAGAAACTGTGTATTCTGGAATATACGTTTTTGATAGGTAAAACTTATTATTTTCTGTTCCTATTGCCTGTGCTTTTCAATTGTCTCTTGAGGTTTTATACCTCAAGGCATGGTGGAAGCTTTATATCGACATATTATTGTATTAGATGGAGCATGCGTCAAAATGTCGAATTCTCTTTCTACTATTGTCCTATTGGTTGATATTACCCAACAGAGAAAATCGAGAGAGAGTGGACTCACCCGAAAGCCACCATTTGCAATACATCGAAATGTAGCAGATATGAAGCCTGTTTTTTGGCTGAACTTTTGCATTAGTTCATCCTCTTTCCTCTTCTTCCTTTCTAAAAAGAAAAGGAAGAAAGATGAACTGCAAAAGTTCAGTCAAAAGAACAGGTACGTTATGGAACGTACATAGTGCGCTGCACACACTAGTATTGATCACACACACACACACACACACACACACACACATACACACACACACACACCTAGATTGTGTGTATGACATATATGTACATATGCATATATGCACATTTACGGAAGTGTACTACAAATGGCGGAACCAATTAGAGAAGAGAAATACTCTTCGCTCCACTCTCCTTCGATTCTCTCTATCAAACATCGTTCTATCTCTTTCTAGGGGTTGGTTGTTCCATCTTTTGGTAAATTTTACTTCTTGGATAAGGAGTAAGATTATCTATCACATGCGTAAATTGTCAGATTTACCTAACAAGTAAAATTTATCAAAAGATGGAACAACTAGCCTAGGTCTATCAAGATGGTTTTAATGCTAAAATATTAAACACAATGCGAGGCAACAGCGATAAGAATAGCAATAGAAATGCTATAGAAATAAGCGATATATAATTGTCGCCTCCCGTTGCACAATGCCGCGAAATAAATAAAAAATCTGATTTCGTATATAGACTGTAGTATTTTTCCATCCACTTTAAGGTTATATCACATATAAACAGAATTGAAAAATCTGATTGGTAAATTTGATTGGTAAATTATAAGGCGATAGACACAGAATTCCAACTCGTCGAAAATTTATCACTATTGCCTTATTCCGTATTCTTGTGCATTGACATATGCATTCCCATAGATTGGATTTCTCTATTCCTATCGCTATCGCTATTGCTATCGATATCACTGTTGCCTCGCATTGTGCATTTATGCTCCGTCTAGTACTGGGTGTTTTCCATTTGATGACACAAGTTGACAAGTATCGTTTTATCCTTGTTGACATTCAGAGAGTGATAAAGATAGAACGATACTTGTGTCATCAAAGGTGCGTTTGGAGAGACGCTATTAATAGCGCTATTTGTGTCATTCTATCCTTATTTTACGTCTAATAAACAATGAAGATAGAATGACAGAAATAGCGCTAACAGTTTTCCCTGAATGCACTGTAAATGGAAAGCATTCATTATATGTCGATGGGTGAAAGTATATTATATATAGGTGTGCTCTTGCACATTTTGAATATAAGAAGAATGAGATCCAGAAGCTATCATGTTGCCGCGGTTATTTGAAGTTATGTCAGTATTATTTTACATATTTATAATATAAATT